GGCCTCCCGAGTGGGGCTGGGACGCCCATTACTCGGACGGGCAAAATGAGACCTGGCAGTGTAGAGCCAGTCAGTGCTGAGCTGGGATTGAGGCCCAGGTCTGACTCTTAAGCCCAAGCTTCTACCTAGCGTTGCCCAAACATGTCTTAATAAAAACCGCCTAAGGCACTTGTTAAATTTTCAGCTTCTAGGCTCTTTCCCCAGGGGGTTTTGATTCAGTGGGGCTCCAGTGTGACTATTTTTAGCAAACACAGGTGATTCTCATAGGGATACTTTAGGAAACACTGGTGGTGACCNCAGGAATTTATTTTTAGCAAACACAGGTGATTCTCATAGGGATACTTTAGGAAACACTGGTGGTGACCATCATGCTGGCCCTTCACAGGTGCTTCTGTTACTTAATTTCACGTCGTTTACAGCACTTTGCCATCTGAAATAAAATTTTTTTGTTAAGCTTTCTCCATGTAGCCAGTAGCCTCCATAAAAACAAGGTCCTTATTGGTTTTTGTATCCTTGAGGCCTTTGGACTGGACTCTCACTTAATATTTGAGTGATTGGGGAACAAATTGCAATGAGTGACATCTAGTATTTATTGAACAGTTACTGAATACCAGGCGTTGCACTAAATACTGTTCTTTCTTTTGGTCCTTAAAACAGGCCCGTATAGAAGGAACTGCTGTCATCACTATTATAAAGTTCTGGAAACTGAGGCCGGGACAGGTTGTGAATTGCCCAAATGTGCAAAAGTAATAGGTGATAGAGCAGCATTCACTTGGGTCTGTTCCCGAAGCTCTCTGGTCCAAGTGTGTGTTTCGATTCTCCCTTTCACTGTCTACTACCTTTTCCCCAGGTCTTCCACCAGCCATGCAGAAAGTTATGTATAAGGGACTCGTCCCTGAGGATAAGACGCTGAGGGAAATAAAGGTGACCAGCGGAGCCAAGATCATGGTGGTTGGTTCCACGATAAATGATGTTTTAGCGGTAAACACGCCCAAAGACGCTGCGCAGCAGGACGCCAAGGCCGAGGAGAGCAAGAAGGAGCCTCTGTGCAGGCAGAAAGTGAGTCCGTCGTGTGATTGTTAGTCCTGGGAAGTCTGAGGCTTTGTCCTCTGGAGCCGCGGTTCGTTATATTCTCCCTAGAATAAGCTCCTTTTTGGACAGGGCCCATGATGGAAATTTATGGCAGCAGTTGGGTGCGGCTGGCTGTTGAGTGGAGAGGTGACAACTACCTGAGATTTGCAACTTTGTCTCATCTGGCGGGTCAGTGTGTCTCAAGTCTATCTACTTTAGGATAAGGCCTTTGTAAAGGCAGGCTTCAGAATCAGACATGGGTTTCTCCTGTTTAGTGGCAGAGAAAAATACCATTGCTAGAACTAACTCCCCATTCTGTGCAAGTGCTTACATTGATTTTTTTGGTGTGTGGCTTCCCCCAAGTCAACAAGCCCATTTCTGGAAAGGCATGAAAATCCCTAGCTTCCAGAGGTTCCTCTAAAAGGCCATTTCTGGAAGCCCAATGAAGCTGACTGGGGAGATAACCATGCTGATTATTTTTCCCTCCTGGCCCATGAAATGGGGGCCTGGTTTTTCATACTCGCTGTGGCTTGTTTTGGAGATTATTGTTTCACTGTCGAAGGAGCTGGTTGGAAGCATTAGGCACCAAGGCACATGACCAGCAGTGTGAAAAGGACTGTTTTCCGGTACAGGCTCACACTCCCTTATGTGTGCTTCCAAACCCTCAAAATGTGCTCTGTAAGTATGGCAGCAGAATCCGACCAGGATCGATATGGATAGTTATGCTTCACCATACAAACCTTAACATGTTTAACGACGAGCTGCTACCACAAACCCTGTGGGGGATCTCACATAATGTATTTTAAAACGTTATTACTTTTTTTTTTTTATTCTAAAACTTTTGGGCTTTATAAAAATTAAAAATCTATGTTCATAGGGTTTCAGATAAGGTGTTGTAAACATATATTAGCATCTAAAAGGTGTTTATTTGGGCACTTTCACTCCCCAAAATGGGGTCAAAATGTCTTGTAACCAGTTGAGTTCATTTCCATTTTCCTGTCTTTCTCTGCCATGTGGTGAAGCATCAGATGTGAGAATGCAGGTGTGGTGAGCATTCCCACTGGCCACATTCTGGGAGTATACATGTCACTTAGGTTTTGAGTTACAAATGGTAGCTTAACAGGCTTAGAATTGCTTTCCACAGTGCAGGGGAAATTCTTCAAAAGGTACATGTGAGGTATGAGTCAAATTCAGATTATAATCCACACTGCTGTGTTTAATGCCAGCGATGAGGCCTAACACGACCTAATGAGAGGGACCTGTCTTTGTGACTTTATCAGCAGTTCAGAAATTGGGCTGATGTGTAGGGTCGCCCTTTGCTAGCAGTCTGGCAGGGTTGGGTATATTCCTTTTGGAGGATTTCTGCCATGCCAGTGAGGGTTTGAGCTGGCTCATGGCCAGCTGGTGCTTAAATTTGGCTGATTTTTTACTCTCTGCCCACTTATGGCCCTGTAGCTCTAACTTCACTAAGCAGTGTCTTCCTAGACAGCCACAAATGGGGCGAGAATAGGATTGAGGCACGTGGGCTGTCAGGAGCTGTGTCAGCCAGCCACGAGCCTGACTAGAACCCAGAGGAGCTACCTCAAACTCCTGTGGTGGGCTGGGGTAGGGACTTCTTAATGCCAGGCTTTTGTGATCAACATTTGTCTTTGGAAGTGTGGCTCTTCAGGCTTTGTGTCTAGCTGGGGTTGAGGGTGGGGCAGCAGGAAGACTTCTGCAGCAGGCGAGTCTCCATTTGTGGAGGCAGTGCCTTGCCATCCTTCGCAAGGTGTCTTTGGGAGTGTAATTCGTACCTGTCAGGAGAGCAACACCCTTTGTGGCTCTCTTAGCTTGATGCTGAATCCTGTCAGTGGTGACTGGGGATGGGGAGGTAGTAGATTTTCTTTGAATTAGCAGTCTGGAAGTCCTGTTTTCTCTAGAACTTTGATGTCAAGTGTGGCGGCCACGTGTGGCTGGTTAAAATTCATTACAATTGAGGGTCCATTTCCTCAGTCCTTCTGGCCCCATCTCAAGTGCTTAATAGCCACATGTTTCCATCAACACACACGTTGCTGGTCAGCACTGCTCTGTAGTGTCAGGACCCATCTGTAGGCAGTATGAGCATTTGAGCCAGAATGTTGAGTCTTGCTTGTTTCGCGTCCTTTTGTTCAGAGGTATTAACATGACGAAAACACAGTCAACTTTCATTTAATGATCTTTTTTGACTTATGTCGTAGCAACACAGGAAGGTGCTGGACAAAGGGAAACCTGAAGACGTGATGCCATCTGTTAAGGGGGCCCAGGTAAGCTGCATTCCTTCGTGAGCACTCTCCAAAACAGACCCACCTGCCTTCCTGCTCTTCCTGCGCTCCCATCTTCAAATCCTGACCCTTCTGTTTTTGCCCTCTGTTTCGGGTCCCTCCCTCTCTTACCATGCTCTTGTGCCTCCAGGAGCGCCTGCCCACGGTCCCCTTGTCCGGCATGTACAATAAGTCGGGAGGAAAAGTGAGACTCACCTTTAAGCTAGAGCAAGACCAGCTGTGGATCGGCACTAAAGGTATGTGACTGCTCCAGCACTTCGTGGCTTGCTCCTCGCGCCCAGCAGTGCTCCATCCCAAGTGCGAGTCTGCTCATTTTTAGATCTCCGCACTGTGCTTTGCGTGCTCCTGGCTTTGGTTTTGCTTTTAGATGCTTGCCTTCTGTTTGGACCCTTTTCCCTCATTCTTTTCAGTCTGATCTCAGGGCCAGTCCATCTAATATTGGCTGTCCAGAGGTCCCAGATGTGTGGCCTGAGGACCAGGTCTGGTCCACAGAGAAGAATTTTATCTGTTTACACACAATCTATAAAAAACTGTAGATTTCACTTGATCCGATTTTTTGGCTTCTTTTGAAAAAAATCAAAAGGTATAAAAAGTCTGGAACTGCGTTCTACAGAGTACCAGCAGCTGGAGCTGAGGAGTAGTTTCACATGGGTCTGGCTACAGTTCTCACTGTCCCATTTAACCTGTATGTGGCCAGCATCCTTCATAAATGTCATCTGCCTGGTGCCTGTAGATTGGAGTTTTCCTAGTACTGGGGACCTGCCCTCCCCCCTCCTGGTTGCCCTCTGCCTGCCCCCACTGACCCCCCTGTGCATGGTGGGCCAGGCTTGCTGTTTACTGGGAAGTCTCTCTGACTATGCTCCCTCTTTCTTCCCCAGATGGATCAAAGTCTTGTCAGCTGCACTCGAGAGTTATCTGTCACTCTTTGCCACTCCACTGTGCTGCTTAAGACTCCTAGCATCTCTAAACTTGGTCCGTGAAAGAAGTTAACCTATTTCCCTGCCCATCTCTGACTACTTCCGTCCCGCTCACCTTCTGTATTGTTTTTTTCTCAGTGGTTTTTGTGCTCATAAACTTCTGTCTTTTTAAGGCCAAGTTCAGATGCCTAACCATAGTGTTCAGTGTTCTTGGTGATGAGACCCCGGTTTAAATTTTTGACCTATCTTCCTGCCCCGCTTGCTTTCTCATACCCTGCGTGTCCACCTGCACCCCTTGCCGAACTTCCCCCATGCGCTCTGTACAGCTCTGTGCCTCTGCTCATGCTGTGCCCTTACCTGCAAGTCTTCTTCCTGTCCTTGTTACTAATAGACTCTTCCAAGGCCCTACTTAAACATCCTCCTAATGAAGCCTCCCTGATACGTCCCCCACCCTGCCGCTTCTGTGTGTCCCCAGAGCACTCATTACTCTCTGACTTGTCTGTCCCCTGTTAGATTCCGGAGGGGACCGAACATGCCTAACTCACCTGTTTCTGCCAGCACTGTAGGTGTTCAGTGTTCGAGGTAAACATAAAGAGAGTACAGGGGGTCCCGTACTCTGAGACTACTTGGTTTCAGGGACAGCCCATTAGTATGATTCTGCTTCAGGGACCAAAATGTTATGGAAAATAATCAGGGCTTGGGTGATGGGGAGCGAGGTTTTATCATCTAAATATGAAAGTAAGTTTCTCGTTTTCACCTTCACCCTGGCTCTTAAAGTGAACGAAGAATGAAATGCCAAAAACGCTTGAGTTTTCTAACAATTGTGTGATAACCTGCTCCATTCTTTCTTTCACACTGATTCTAACGGCATGATCAGAGCAAATTTTGCAAACTATTTAAGGGCCCCCCCATTCTTCAAGGGCCTTGGATCTCTTTACTAGGTCGTTGTCTTCTGCAGAGCCGGTCCCGTCACCCCCTGTCGTTTCCGCAGTTGTGAGCTGCCCGCCTGCCAGCTCCTCACTTCTCCATGACTCGGCAGGTGGTTGGGGTAGTCCTCCACATTGCATTGACACGCTAAAGCCCTGCCTTTTCCAGCTCTGCAGCCTAATGGAAGGCAGTGGCTGAGGCTGACCTAGAGAGACACCCATGGCCCCGCAGTAGGCGCAGCCAGTCTGGATGGGAGCTCAGGCTGGATGTGCTCGCTGGCCTTGGAGTGCTTTGGGTTAGCAAGGTGTGTAGGAGACATGTCAGGCAGGGACAAATGAGAACCTTTTATGCCTGTGTTGGGGGCTCTCCTTGTGCTTGTGGGCGCAGCCACCCTCCTGCTCTGGCACAAAGGAGAGCTCTGGAAGACCTTGGTGTGACGTGGCAGTCACCGGCCTACTAAAGAGCGTGGCCATGACTCACATTTCAGAGCTTGGCCACAGCTGGGATTCTCATTCCCACCCAGAGCCCTGACCCCGTGCACCTCGGGCCCTCTTCTCACCTGCCCATGAGTGCCGTCACCTGTCACAGCGCTCAGAGGACAGTGCGCCCTGGGAGTGGGCTCCTGCCATTAGCTCCATCTTTCTGCTGGCTAGACACTGCTGTAGGACGAGCATTCCCACAGCCAGGAGGCCTCCTCCTTGGAGGGGTACTTTACTGAGGGACACACGTGGCCCCTGCTTGTGGCGTAGACTCCGGTGGCCTTGGGGGAGGCAGGACTCAGCCTCAGGCCCAGCTGAGTGAGAAGAACAGGCAGGATGTGTGAATGGTGAGCAAAGGTGACCCCTGAGGCTGCTGTGGGGAGCCTGTGCCCTCTTGGCAGGGAAGTCACACCTGTAATACTCTGGATTGTCATTCTGGAGTGTGGGCCCAGCGTTGTTATATCATCTACATTTTTAAAAGAAGCCAGAAATCCCTATTTTTATGTGAAAACCTCTGGACATTTCAAGGTGGTGGGTGTAAAGAAGTTTCTAGCTTAGATAGCTGGTCAGTCTTGCGCGGGGGCACACCATTTCAGAGCCACTGGAAGTCACAGCCTGTGTGGGCGTTTCAGGTGCATCCTCCCCACCCCATCTTTCAGACCCGAGGCCCACGGAACAATTAGAGCGTCTCAGTTCATCAGCTAGGCTAGAACCCCAGCCTCGAAATTCCTGCTGTGTTGTCGTTGTCTGTTTCAGAGTCTACCTTTTCCAGGTTTTTCTCCCTACAAAGGCTTTAGTGGTTTTTAAACTTGGTTTAACTGTTTGCTGAGAGCTTCTCCCGTCCCTGAGGTGTCTGCTGCTTCCTTGGGGGGGAGGTCCTGTTGGCAGGCACTCCATACCCCCCTCCCGTCCTCCTGCACTTGCTCACTTCCAGCAGTCTCCTCCCTCCAGACCTCACTGTCGCCTCTCACACCTGCCACCCTTAAACTTGCTGCAAAATGCCTTCTAACCTGGTGTGCTAAGTAGTATCTAAAGTGTTAATCATAAGAGGTTATAAATGTTTTAAGAGAATTTTGTGTGTGTGTGTGTGTATGGAGGGGTGGAGGGATGGGGGAGGGACAGGTAGGGCAAATGAGCAGGATCGTGGACCAGAGACTGGCCATACACCGCCAACAGTCCCCCTTCTGTGGGAGCCCCAGGGGCACTCTGGTGCCTCTCTGTTCTTGGTCCTCTTGGCTGTCCCAGGCACCAAAGGCCTTAGCCAGTGCTGGGCTTGGGCTGTAAGGGTGCAGTGGAATTTCTTAGGTATTTATTAATTGTTAGGCTTTTAAAAATAACACCAGGAAAGAGATACCTCTGTCCTCAGAGACCTTTACTATACCATTGCCACATCCTGGTCCCCATTTGCTCCTAAGAAGTTCCCAGCTCCCACACGGGGCTCTAGGGTCACTGTTAGAAGGTCCTGTCCCATTATTCGTAGAGGGCAGGGTGAGGAGCTTATAGTAGATTCCAAAGCCACCAGCCTGACAAGGGACTGCTGAGTCACAGGAGTAGAACAGGAGGGCTTTTGAGTAATGACTGTCATTCCTCTCACCTTAGAGCGGACCGAGAAGTTGCCCATGGGCTCCATTAAAAATGTGGTCAGTGAACCCATTGAAGGACATGAAGACTACCACATGATGGTAAGTAGGTGCGTGTGGCCGCTGGGCTCCACTTCTGCGCCTCTGCAGGGACTGACGCTAACTGGGGACACTCAGTACTCAGGAGACGCACGGTCTAAGCCTTGTGTCTTCTGCGTCTTAGACCATAGCCATGACTTAACCCTGGTTCTCTTTATTTGGCATCCCCATCTTCCAGCAGTTTAAAGGGGATATGTTGCATCTCTTTGCCTCCCTTTTATTTGTAATATTTTGTTTTTAGACCAGGAAAATAAATATAACGAGGAGGAATGGCTTGTGGGTTTTCATTTAACTTTTTCTTGCATATAGAATAAAACCTCCCACTAGACTTGGTGCTCATACCTCCAGGCCTCCGCCCCAGATAGTGTTGCCCTCCCTGGGCTGCAGCCATCAGGTGGCAGGGATGGGAGGGGGGTGCGTCTGTGGCTGCCCGTTCTCCTGGAGTCTGCTCGAACGGGCAGGCTGCACATCCCAAGACACAGTGTGTGCAGACATTGCCCATGTCTCAGAACCAAGTGAGGGCTCAGTGGTGAGCTGAGCTGCTTGGGCACTCCCCTTCCACTTCCCGGCACTGTTCAGAGGGGCCACTTCAACAGTGAAGTTAGCTACTCACGCTTCAAAGTTGCTGAGACGGGGAGCTGATCTGAGCAGTGAGGCGGCCACCTGCCATTGTCTGAAGAGGCAGGTTTTTCAGGGTCCAGCCATTAGGGAGAAGGAGCAGTAGTGGGCTACAAAGTCCACGGCAGAGTAAGGTATTGGAGAGCCCAGGAAAGGGGGATCTTGCATCATGGCAGTGCTCTGTAGGCAGGTGGCAGATCCCCGGGCTCTAGGAACATCTGCCGCCCTCTCCTCTCTCCTGCCTGCTGGGGCCTGACAGTGGTTGAGACGGCAGCCCCTGGTGAAGCTGCTGGGTGCCCTCTGAAAGTGGTGACAGTGTGGGGCCCTGTGGCAGCCCTCCACCCTGGTCTCTGGAGTCTAAAGGATTGCATGTGGATTGTTTGCCTGCTCAGTTATTGTTTTGTTTTAAATGTTGGAATTTAATGTTTTCACCTGGGCTCCTGCACTGCCCTTTGAAGCATATGTCTTCCCAGGTTGACCCTGTTGGGTTTGCAGCCCAGTGATGAGAGGCAGCCTGCTGAGGGGTTTTACACAGGCTCAGAGGCCAGTTTGAACCTCCTAAGGGAGTGGTGTGGCTGGGGAGTGCTGCAGATTTCATTTAAATGCTCATTTTTTTCCAGTCATTCCTGGAAGCAGGTGGCTCTGATCGCCCTTCTCTTCTCTAAAAACCATTAATCAGCACCTTCACCATTGTCCCAATGCACATACTTGTTTTCCTCTGCAGGCACATTTCCCTAGCTAGGTTGACGTGCCACAATTCATGTTAGAAGGGGGTGGCTGTGCTTTGTTATTTTTAGAGAAATCTTTAAAAATATAGGAAAGGACAGCGACTACTATAACAGACCCATATATCCATCACCACAAAGTGACAGCTGCAGATATTTTGTAACTTGCTTTGAATCATTTTGAATAAAAGGGATTTTTCCAGCAGTGACTCCGTCCCCATTGCCCTCATCTGGTCTGCCATGCAGGCCTCCCCTCTGTTTTCCTTTTATGTATGTCCATGAACAAGCTTCAGTGCTGTTTCATGTTTTTTCAGTTTTCATAAGTGGTATATTGTTCTACAGACTGTTTTTTTTTCAGTTCGACATTATGTTATGTCTTTATTTACCAGTGACCCAGTTCATACCTTTTAAAAGTGGCCCGATATTCATAGGAATAGGCCACATCACTTTTAATTGTGCATTCCCTCACGACGGGTAGAAGCCGCTTCCAGGCCCTTACCGTCGCTGACATGCTGCTTTGATGCTCACCTGTTCCTTGCACATGTGTGACAGGGTTTCTGGGGCAGTGGTTCCCAGNACGACGGGTAGAAGCTGCTTCCAGGCCCTTACCGTCGCTGACATGCTGCTTTGATGCTCACCTGTTCCTTGCACATGTGTGACAGGGTTTCTGGGGCAGTGGTTCCCAGGTGGGTCTTGGATCAGCAGTGCCACATCACCTGGAACTCCTAGGAATTGCAGATGTTCAGGCCTTACCGGCCCTCTAAGTCACAGACTAAGAGGGGAGCCACCAAGCTGCTGTGACAAGTCCCCCGGATGGCTCTGATGTGCACTCAAGTTTGGGAACCACTGCCTTAGGGTTTGCTATGCTTAGCTCCCTCCTGCTGCTGTTTTTTTCTTTGGACAAGAGAATGCTCCCCACAGGAATCTTTTCCCCCTTCCGTTTTGACTAAATCACTGCTCAGCCCTCCCCTGTGTGTGGTGCTGCCGCTCAGTCTCCGACCTCTGAAGTGTCGCTTGGTTTTCCTTTTTCCCTTCCAGGCATTTCAGTTGGGCCCCACGGAAGCCTCTTACTACTGGGTGTACTGGGTTCCGACTCAATATGTGGATGCAATCAAAGACACTGTGCTGGGGAAGTGGCAGTATTTTTGAAAGCACTCTCACCTCTGGCCCAGGAGACCGACCCAAAGGGAAGGACATTGCTGGGAGAGGCCTGCAGCATCCCTGGATTTCAGAGTTCTGGAACTTTGTTCAAAAAACAGTCTATATCCAATCTAAGGTGATGTGGTGACCGAAGCCAGAGGTGATGTTCTTTCACCCTTAGCTTAATTTTAACTTAAAATCACCGGTTCCCTTTCTTGCAGTCAGCTTCATACCATTTTTAAAGTCAGTACAGTGGAAACCAATAAATCTGAACTCCGAGCGTGTTGTGTGGAATACTCTTCAGTGTGCTTGGGAGGAGATCTGCCAGGGTTTTGTTTAGAAAGGAATGGTCAAAAGCTTTCTGCCTTTTTTTTTTTTAAGTGATTTCAACTGAAATATTTTCATAAATCTTTAGTTGCAAACATTTGGACTGTGTTGTGATAAGTTGGGGTGTTTTTTTTCTTTTTCATATAAAATTTTATGCAAAGTGGGAGGAGGGTTGGTAAGCCATATTTTTCTGTCTATTGATTCAAACTGATTTCTTTCCCTTTTTTATTTTTTCACTTCCTAGATATGAGCTTTTGTTTTGAAAACCCAAAGATGTCAGTTCCTCCTCTTGTACCTCATCACTGCTTGCTTTCCTGGCATCCCTCCCGCGTGCTGCTGCCCGCGGATGCGGGGGGAGGGAAGCACAGTGGGCCTTGGTCAGGGAGCTCTTGCGCCTGCTGTGTGACTTGTCTAAACATCTTGCCCATTGGGTACCAGTCTCTGGGGCTGTCCTCTGCCACACTGACAGTTGTTGGCAGTCCTCACCGAGTTGGTTCTCACGGCCAGCCTGTCAGGGGTGTGCCTGGCTGTGCTCCTCCAGAGCCACGGTTCCTAGGCGGGAACAGGCCTCTTCGAAGCTGCGCCAGGTGGAAGGCAGTTTATACAGTCATGTAGCCACAGGCCCACTCCAGGAGTTTCAGGACATTCTTTAGCAGTCCAACGGTTATTTCAATTGTGCTTCTCCATTTGTTCCTTTGCTCATGCCTTGTGTTCACATGTTCATCCTGGTCCAGAGATGCTGCCCTTCTCAGTAAGACGTCTGACTCGTGGGTTGGCCCTGTGTTGCAACATCAGAAACGGGATAAGTTGCTTTTGTGATGAGCTCACCCTCTTCTGGTTTTAGCCCTTGTGTAGTCTTTGTACACGTGAGCCCTGTTGTCTCCTTGTGGCTTGGTGGACTCTGAGGTGAGGGGGCCTCCCTGTGAGCAGCCTCCCTGTGCTGGCTGCTATTTCTCGGCTGCTGTCTTCGCAGTCCTCTTGCGGGCTACAGGCTCTCAGCAAGGCTTGGTGGTATTTCCAAACTTGGCAGCCTGCATTGTAGGCTGTTCCTTCTCATTCTGTGAAGTGTATTAGCATGTGTGGGCCGGTGAGTGATGATCTTCTGCACCCTTCCCTCCAAACTGTAGTTCAGAATCCAGCCAGCATAGACAGACTCGTGCTTCTCGTGGTGTAGTCCATTCCTAGCTACGCACCTGGGCAGGAAGGCCTGTTCTTGCTCTTTGAGGGTATAAGTATATCTGTGAAGTGTAGCGTCCAAGAAACTGCCTGTTTCATCCCTTGGAAAAGGAGCAGTGACTGACCAGCCTCTGTCCTGCTGCCTGCAGCTCCAGAGAAAAGGGAGCTTTGCTGCTGCTGAGGCTGCCCTGCAATGACAGGCCTGCGTGTGATCCAGCCATGTGGCAGGCAGGGTGTCGTCTCGGTTTGTTGGCCAATGTCCCTGTCCTGGAGACTTGTCCTGACTGCCACACACCTGTTCTCTGGAAGCAGACATCTTCGTCCCCAGACTGGCCTCGCACTGCTTCTCTCAGAGCCCCTTCCCACCAGGTCTCCGCATTTGCCTTTTGGCTGCCGCCTTCTGACGTCCCTTCCTCCCAGTGAGAGCGTGTGTCCCAGCATCTCCTTGCTCTCCAAGAGCCAAACCGCTTCTCACTCAGGCTGGTGTCATTTCAAGACAGGACCAAAGCCTGTGTGAGCCTTTTTATTTTAAGTAAAATGGTGCTTTTTTCCTTACTTCAAGATACTCTATGTAAATAATAACGTAATAACATCTTTCTGTATGGAGCTGTTGGAGGGGCTCACTGAGTATGTTAGAACAATCACGGAGATCTTGCTGGAAGCCCTCAGAGAGCAGAGGTAGGCAGACCAGAAGCCCCTGGAAGAGGGTTTTGATTTAGATCCGAGTCTGGGTCCCAGCAGTATTCACCGTCTTGTCACTCAGTCCCGTGAGCAGTCTCTTCATTTATTTTCTTACAGTCCAGGGTGTACTGAGGCCAGGTCTGTGTCAGAAGCTGGACTACTCTCCCTTAGGCACATTGCAGTGTTGCTGTTTCATCAGGATGATTTCTGTGCAGTTCCCTCACTGTTACAGGGGACCAGCTCTATCTCTGGGGTTGTGACTATCTCTCATGGTGGCACAGGGGGTGTGGGTGGACCAAGGAAGAGCTGGCTCTGAGCAGGGCTCTAGCGTGTACGAGCAGGCGGGGCTCTGGCCTCTGGTCCACACGGAGCCTCTTGACGGGCTGCTTTCTCTTCTGGAATTCATGCTGGGCCTCCTGCAGGTCTTTGCTCACAGGTGCCATGCCTTTTTGTCCCTCCCTAAGGCCACTTGGCAAATAAAGACAAAGTGATCTCTGCTGAGGCCGGTCCCTCTACTCGGTGTCAGCCTGATCTCTTTGCTGAACTATAGGTGTTAAGTATTTGAATTGCTGATGGGCCTTCTGGAAGTAGTATTAGCTCTTCTTAATGAGGCTGAACTGACCAAGGATGTCCTCTCCTGTAACTCGTGGACACAGGAGGCCAGCTAGGCCTCAGGAGTCGCCTTTAGTTGCTGCTTTACCTTAACAAGGGCCAGAGAGACGAACTGCCGCATTGCCATGGCTCTGAAAACTTGTCATATTTCAGCCAGAAGGGGCTTGCTTTCCCCTTCTCTTACTGAACCATGTGCCTGGAAGAGCTATCCTGGCTCTTGCTCTTGGCTCACCCTTTCTTTGCCGGGGCAGGAAGGGAAGGGATCGACCCTGTGCCATGGGCCGTGCAAGGGTTGGCCTTCTTTCCAGCCGTTTTCTGAGGCAACCTCTCCCTTGCTCCTGGCCTTTGTTCTGCCTGTTGTCTGGGAAGGGATGGTCCCTTTGCTTTATGGTTTTGTGACAGTGTCATCTCTAGTTAGGATTGGCACCTGTTTCCTTCTTAGTAAGTCCTGGAGACCTCTCAGAAGTCACAGGTGGTCAGGAGCCCTCCAAGTGCAGAGTATCTGGTCCATTGACCTGCCAGGCTGAGTGGCTCTGCTGCTTTCCAAATTTCAAGGATTTCTTTCTTTTTTCTTAAAGAGTTCTCCAGAATGAATTGACAGTATACGTAAGTACCATGTATTCTTGTGGTGTACGCTCTGGTCTGGTTTTTGTTTTTAATCAAATGCCTGTTTGGGAGGAGATGAACGTATTTAGTCTGTTAGATTTGCGCTGCTGGATTTTTTTAAAAGTGTAACCTTGACTAGCTGTCTTATTGTTTATCCTGTAAGATTGTAAGATTAGCCCATCAATTAAAGTTTGATAATTAATTGTGTCTCCTTTTTCCTTCCAATTCTTCATGCGCCTAATCCATGCTGGGGATTTACCAATATTTGGAACTGGGCCTGGAGCCGTAGTTTTGCCAGCTGTTGTCAACCATTTTCCTGTTTTCTTTATTTGACTTTAGAGTATATCCTGCGAAAAACAGTTGCTAAAGGGATTTGATTTGATTTACTTCTGTACTAGTCAAAGTCACCCGCCAAGGCCATGCTTCTGTTAGGACAGCCCTCCTCCGCCCCCTCTAGCCACCAGGTGTTGGGATGCCACCTCCCTGTCCTTACACCTCCTGACTTGGGCCTCGTGTGACTTCACCTGGCCATTTAGCCTGGGAGGACATGCTTGGTAACACNCGAAAAACAGTTGCTAAAGGGATTTGATTTGATTTACTTCTGTACTAGTCAAAGTCACCCGCCAAGGCCATGCTTCTGTTAGGACAGCCCTCCTCCGCCCCCTCTAGCCACCAGGTGTTGGGATGCCACCTCCCTGTCCTTACACCTCCTGACTTGGGCCTCGTGTGACTTCACCTGGCCATTTAGCCTGGGAGGACATGCTTGGTAACACTGAGATGGAGCTCCAGTCCTCGCCGCAGCCACGAAGACCCAGGAACAAAAACCAAATCCTTGGCATGAGCAGATGAGAGTTTGTCGGAACTGGTTTTGACCCAGCACCACCTCCATTCGACCCTCTCTCGTCTTTCCCGTTTTGTAAATGTTCCCAAAGTTTGTGGTCCCACAGCCCCTTCCTGGCTCCTTTCCCTTTTTCTGGTACCTCGTAATTCCAGAGCAGTGCTGCTAGACCTGAAGGGTCTGACCCGTGGAGAGAGCGGTGGCTGGCACTCGCCTGGAGAGGACTCTCTGTACAGGACTCTTCCGGGTTTTATCCAGTTCCGAATGTTTGCTTCAGGCCCCTTCAAATGAACAGGGAGAGGGAGGTGACCTGCAGTCTGAGTATGGCACCATACCTTGGGGGGTCTGCATTTTCATAACTAGCAACCCTTTCTGCAGTGGGGACCCCGCAAGCCAGCCAGCCAGTGGGCAAGCAGCAGCGGCCTCTTCTCTTGCCCAGGAGGCGGTCTCCTTAGCCTGTGCACGCGGGGAGGGGGCGCCTGTCCCCAGAAGCCCCGGCCTCTGCCCTGCCTGGTTCTCAAGGCTGCCTTTGTTCTGAAGCCTCATTGGCCTCTCTTCTCCTCCACCTCCTCCGGCTGTTCACCCCATTTTGTAACCCCTGGTTTTCAGGTTCCTTGCTGTTTTTACTCCATCCCCCGTATCTAATTTTAATCCCTGCTGTTTCCCTTTTTTTTTGTTTTCGAAATGTTTAAACTGACAGAGCCAACCACACTCTCCACCTTATACTTTCCACATTGGTTCACCAATTGTTAAAATATTAAGCAATATTTTTCTCTTCTAGACACACATCCTTTTTAAAAAAATTGTATTATTAGAGAGAAAGGGAGAGGGAAGGAAGGAGAGGGGGGAGAGAAAAACATCAATGTGAGAGAAACCAGTTGGTTGCCTCCCATGGGCACCCTGACCAGGGATCAAACCCGCAACTTGGTTATGTGCCCTGCCCGGGAATTGAACCAGCAACCCTTTGGTGTACAGGGTGACACCCAACTGAGCCACCTAGCCAGCGCAATGTTTTTTAAATCATTATTCTAATCTTATATTAATACCCTTTTAACTTTTCTGTTGAGTCTTGGCTTTTCTCTCTCACCTTAAAAGTAATTTCCCCATATTTTTCCCCCCATGAATTTACAGTCTTAATTTTTATTATGACCCCTAATCTCTCCCTCCCTCTGATTGTGGGTTTGCCATGCCGGCTGTGGCTGTGGTGCTAGAGGTAGAGCCAGGGAACCAGCACTCCCAGAGGGCAGAGTCCTCGTCCGTTGATCACTGGAGACTCCAGGGGTCTGTGACTCAGGACTCTTGGTTCTTGGTGACAAACCCAGTTCTTACCACTCGGGCAAAGCAGTTTGACTCAGGTAACCGGAAAATGCAGTGTGTCAGACCCAGCTCAATGCAGGAGCTCACGCCAGGCACCTGACCCTCTAACTGCTGACTCTGCTTTGTCCTCTGTTGACTTAGCTTCCACCAGACTGGCAGCCCCAAAGGTGAGAGAATATTTTTCCTTCAAGATTTCCAGTAAAAGTACCAGATAGGGGTTCTTAGTAGTTTGTGGCCCCTGCCCTTCACAAAAACACAAACATCGCAATCGTAGCATCTAAGATGTCCCATTTGACTTACATCCATCATGAGTGTGGGGCTTTCAAGCAAATACCCTGGACTGGAGGTACCAGAGCACCTCTGGCAGATCACCCAGCAGGGTTTGTCCTCTAGCTTTGTGCCAGGTAAATGCTACTCAGTGAGGCATGGGTACCTCTGGATGCTCATTCCACGAGAAACTTGCTCCACTCTGCCTTCAAGTCCTGTGACATCAGCTCCTTCACTGAGTGTTGCCATGTCCCAGGCTCTGTCAAATTATGTGCATGATATTGTCAACACTCCACCACACGCCTCTTGGTACCCCGATTTCACCCATTAGAGGAAACTTAAGACTCAGAGAAGTGACTTAGCCAAGATCACTGACCAAGGCTGCCATTCAGAACCCGGACTGGCCTGATGCCAAAGTCTGTGCTCTTCCAAACTCACCTTATTGTTGAGAACTTAGGATAGAACTCGCTACATTTTTTTTTCTTTCCCTGATTTAGCTGTATGTCTTAAGGGCACTAACTTGTGTTTGTGAGTTGTTTTAAATGTTAAACCTTTATATTTTTAATTGGCTACCATTTTAAAAAATTAAGACAGCCCTAGCTGGTGTGGCTCAGTGGTTAGGGATTAGTCCAGGCACTGCAGGGTTTTGGGTTCAATTCCTGGTCAAGGGCATGAACCTCAGTTGCAGGTTCGATCCCCGGCCCCGGTTGGGTGTGTGCAGAAGGCTATCGATCGATGTCTCTCACATCAATGTTTCTCTCTCTGCGCCCCTCCATTCCTTCCATGCTCTCTAAAAATCAGAAAAAAATATCCTCAGGTGAGAATTAAAAAAATAAAAGTTTAAAAATTAAGACAGTAATACACGCACTTGATAAAGAAATTTTAAGTGACAGGCAAGTCTTGCTTAGTTCTAGCTTCTCAACCCTAGCTGTGACCCATCCCTGTGGGCAGTTTACTTTAGGCTTAAAGGAGATCAGGCCCAAAACAGGCTGTAGCAGGTGTGACAGCAGACGTACAGGTGCTCTGGCCATCAGAGCTATGTGCACACCATCCCAGCTGTTCTCGTTCACACACTTTAAAAAATTGATTTTAGAGAGAGGGAGAGACATCTCCACGTGAGAAACTTGATCGGTTCTCTTCCATACGTGCCCCAACGGGATTGAGCCCACAGCCTGGGTACGTGCCCTGACCGGGAATCAAACCCACCACCTTCCCGTGTATGGGACGTTCCAACCGAGTCACACTGGCCAGAGCGACACACTGGAATGCTGCATGCGGCCAGTGTGCTGCCTACCTAGAGTGGCACACAAAGGACATTCCAGGAAGTTCTTAGAGCAAAAGGGCCTTTGCTATTGTTTGAACACCGGCCCTAAATAGCGTTGCCAAGGAATTACCTGCATGATTCAGTGGTTCCTTTACTTGGGACAGCTGTGGAATGATGCGAACGGGCCACTTCCATGCAGGCGGGTGGTTGAGATGCTAGCAGAGCCGCTAGTGGTGGCCGTACTGCTAGGCCTTGTATTTCAGGCAGGAACCACCAGAGATGCTTTTCTTGGGGCAAAATGTGCAGCTGCCATGGACCCAGTTTAGAATCGCCAGATGTTAAAATTGTAATTCCAGTCAGAGGTATCCCGTGCAAGCCTGTTTCATTCTAAGCACATTTCTTGAAAAGGCATACATGTTTGATCTGCATGAGTATCTTTAAAAATATTAAGCAAAGTCAATATAAAAATGCACTTTATAGATATCACTGAAAAACTAAAGACTGACAAAAATGTTGGTTTTATAGATTTATTTTCGAAGGGCACAAACACAAAACAATTTAAATACAAGTCTAAACAGAATTGCTCTGTCAATGTCAGCAATGATGTCACAGTGTGTCCTCGCTGCCAGACATTCGCATCTCCGAGTCTTCTCTCAGTGAAGGAAGGGGGTCTGGAAGAGACAGTAAGTGCAGTGTTTCTCTCGGTGTGTTGTTACCAACTTTGCTCGAAGATCTTCCAGGTGCTACATCCAGAGTAACTGAAGTTACAGGCACCAAGACAATGCTTTATTTAAAAAGCCTCACCACTTGATTATCCTAGAGCCCAAATAACAATACAGAATTCACTGACAGGCTTCTTTACCATCAAGTGTTGTATTACATGATTTACATACACCACTGAATTTTACGTTCACAAAAATCCCAAGTAGGTCCTATCTAACCCCATTTTACGTATGTAAAACAGGCTCACAGGCTAGACAGCCTGCCTAAGACTGCCAGACTTCCAGAATGTGACAGCCGAGAATAAACAGGTGTCTGGCTCCAGAGGCCGTCTTCCTGCCCATGAGGTCTCTTTGCCTAACAGCCAACAGCCAGGCCATCCCAACTTCCTGGACAGCAGGCTGGGCTGGCCTAGGCTGACTGCGGGAGGCAACCGTCTCTGCTCAGTTCACAAGACTGCTTTTAGGAGGGGTACCACCCAAGGGAGTCTGTCCAGGAATGAACTGCTCTCAACCCCCCTCGAGGATAAAGATGATCACTAAGGCTGGCCCCCCAGAGGGGCAGATAACAGGAGGGGCCTGCACTTTGCAGTCAGTGAAACCTGCCGGGCGTTTCGATCCTCTGTTTCTTCTTGCGTCTGTCTTTACTGAGGGGCCCCCGAGAGCTTTATTCTACGGGAGAGCATCACCCTCTGTAGTTATTTACCTGGTAACTATTCATACACATCCTTCTTATCTGCAATGTAATCAACAATTTCTTGTGGGCACATCAATTTCTCCGCATCTACATCAGGAATTTCAAACCCTGAAAGTGAAACGTACAACAGTGCGTGAATACAGAAAAAGCAGATCCTTTAGACTTGAAAGCACTAACACCTCGTAACCCCCCAGTACATCAGGCCTCCAGCAGCCCTGAATCCATTCAAGTTGTGAGCCAGTTATGTCTACACAGTGTGGGTACTGTATTGGGTATAACGGTTTGTTCCTTTAAAAAAAAAAAAAAAAAAATCACATAATAGAAAGTTCACCCATTTAAAGTGTAAAATTCAATGGTTTTGAGTGTTGCCACAAGGCTGTGCAACCATCACCATTATCCAATTCTAGAATATTTCATTACCCCAAAGAAATCCCATACCCACCCCCTACCTCAATGAACACCATGCCTCTAGTTAGCATAACCTGTGAGGATTCTTCTCTGTAGGATGGCACAGAAGTTGCTTGGCTTCCATGAAGGCAATTCATCCCCCAAATTAGTTGTGGAGCCTCGAATGGTCTCATTTGCACAACTAACTCTCCCGAACGAGAATATTGGCATGTGCACAAGAGGCACTGAAGGAAACAAGGTGAGTGTGCATGTGCTTGTGTGTGAAGGGGAGCCTACTGTTTCTGTTTCTATATTTGATTCAAATCCCAATTCAGACTTCCAACATCTTTCACTTTAATCCACCCAAATCAAGAGTCACAGTATGACTCTGGACTGTATGGCTTAATGGTTAGAGCGTCAGCCTTTGCACTGAAGGGCTGTGGGTTTGATTCCTGGTCAAGGGCACATACCTGGGTTGTGGGTTTGCTCCCTGCCCCCAGTCGGGGCGAGTGCCAGAGGCAACCAGTCGATGAGTCTCTCTCACAGATGTTTCTCTCTCTCTCTCCCCCACCCCCTCCCTCCCTCCTTCCACTCTGGAAAAGCAATGGAAACAAAGATATCCTCAGGTGAGGAGTAATAAAACAAAAACAGAATCACAATTGGTTAAGCATGGATACATCCAGGTTTCGGTTTGATCCCTGATCAGGGCGCATACAAGAACAAAACAATGAATGAATGAATAAATGGAATATCAAATTGATGTTTCTCTCTCTCTTCCTCTAAAATCTCACGCACACTTATACAAAGAATCACAAAATGGAGACCTAAGACCCAGCCAGCACATTACCAAATTCGTCCTCCATGGCCATGATGATCTCCACTTGGTCCAAACTGTCTAAGCCCAGGTCTTTCATAAAATGGGAATTTACTGAGAGCTGCAAGAAAGGGACATCAGATACAAAATTCAGTCTGAGAGCTTTTGTGCCTCAAGATAACTGAGTGGTACAGTTTTTAAATAGGAGGAACCATAACATCATACATCTACCATGTGCCGATGTACACTTGGTGTGCTTTACATGCCAACTTATTTAACCTTGTTTGAATGTTAACTATAAAAAGCTAATGACACATTTCCCTTTACATTTTTATTAAGATCTTTGATCACTGCTCTGAATGAGACTTGAGAATTGATTTCCTTGCTACCTTATGAATAGCTAAGACTCTACTCAGTGACCACCTTCCCTCAAGACTAGCAGATGGTGTTTATCATCACCTGCCTTTAATTCAGTCCTCAAGGTCACCAGTAAGAATTCAACACCCACATCCAACCACGCTCTCCTGGGTGTCACAACGTGGTGACCAGAGTGAATACTACTGTCTTGCATATTTAAAAGTTGCTAAGAGAGTAGATCTTAAAAGTCCTCATCACAAGAAAAAACCTTTTTGTGATTGTGTGGTGACAGATGTTAACTAAACTTACTATGGTGATTAATTCACAATATATACAAATGCCTGAAACTAATGTCATTTATACCTCAAAAAAACCCCAACCCCATTATCCTACTCACACAACAGATTCAATTAAAGGAATTTTTTATGTGTCACTTTGAGAANACACACAAAAAACAAACCCAAACCCCATTATCCTACTCACACAACAGATTCAATTAAAGGAATTTTTTATGTGTCACTTTGAGAAAAATTTCAAGGGTTAAGAGAGGTGCATAAGTGTTTACAGTACACCACCACTGTGTTTTTTTAAAAAAAGGGTGGGAGATACAAGACCACTTAGCACATACAATGTACATGCATGTGGGCATACTTCCTTGCGCATGCGCCAAGTATTTCGGGGAACAATACACAAGCTGCTTTCACTGCTGCCTCCCAGAAGGGAACGGAGCTGGAGCAGGGAAACGGGCCTTTTGGACCCTCTGAATTTTATACCATGTGATTAATTAAACCACATCAATTACCTTCTCTGGGTCAATCTTGTCGTAGAGCTTCAACACATAAAGAACACGGTCCTTGATGCCCTCTAAAGTCAGAGGGGGCGCGTCACTATACTGGCGGCACAGCTGTGTAACTCTGCCTGGTACCTAGGGCGAGGGCAGGAAGGAAACGTTGAACCTAAAATGCCTCCACATAAGTGCACTGGCCTGTATTAGGTACTTTCCACAAAGTGTTTAGGGCTCTAAAGAACCCACCTCCCCTGACTGTGGCCCCTAGGCCACACCAGATCACTGCTGGTTGTCTCATGCCCTAGCCATTTGGCAGAAGACACATGGGCCTCCTTTCCCCTCAGAGCTAGGGCTGGCTTTGGACATTTGTCCTGCTCAGTGAGACTAAAATGGTCCAAGGTCTGCAGAAGAGCTTTCTTGCGGCATCTGCAGCAACCATTGCCAGAGTAAGTCCCTGCCATCTCTAATTGGCATACGCAAGTCAAAATAACCTACAGGGAAAGAGCTGTCACTGTAAACTGAGAGGCAGCTCATACTGAGGACCATATACCACAGAGGTCTGATCTGGCCCATGGGCTACCAACGTAAAGGAGAGGTAGGAGGAGCCTGACAGTCATCAGAGCCCAGTCTGTTTCCCTTCAGGGCTTGCGCCTTGTTGCCACCAGCCAAACCACAAGCCTTTCTGATCTTTGACGTGATGGAGGATCACCTCACATCTCTGACAGTCACCTGATCTATTCAACTCGGTACTAGGGTTTTGACTGGACTCCTTCACCTAACGTGACAAGAGCTCCAACTCACAAGTCAGTGGGTATAAAGTTGGGAAAGGAACAATGCAGAACAAGAGAAAACAAACAGCAGACAGACAGTTTTGCTCACTATGGAAGTCCCTAATCTGAACTGGTGTGTTCCCCTTCTAAAATTGACTTTACTACTGTGGTTTGGAGTTTTTAGGGCATGTCCCATAGAAAATAGGTTTTGCTTATTGGGGCCCAGGTACCTGAGACTCACAAAGGTCCATGAAAAATTGTAATAAAAAACTGCCATTCCAGACAAAAAGTCAACATAGAAACAGTGACTCTAAATGGCACACTAGGTCAGATGGATTTAATATTTACAGAACATTTCACCCCAAAGCCGCAGAGTATACATTCCCCTCAAGTGCACATGGGTCATTCTCAAAGATAGACAACATGTTAGGACATAAACAAGTCTCTACAAGTTCAAGAAGACTGAAATCACATCAAGCATCTCAGATCACAAGGGCATGAAATTAGAAATCAACTACAGTAAAAACACTCAAAAACAGGCAAACGCATGGAGACTGAATAGCATATTATTAAACAAGGAATGGGTTACAAATGAGATCAAGGAAGAAATCAAAAACTTCCTGGAAACAAAACGAACACACAACAACCCAAAATCTATGGGACACAGGGAAAGCAGTCCTAAGAGGGAAGTTCATAGCACCACAGGCCTACCTGAAAAAGCATGAAAAATTTTTAGTAAACTAACCCTACAACTTAAAGAATTAGAAAGCTCCCATGTGAGGACATCTGGACCAGGGCTTTTGTTTACTAGGAGTTTTTTCATTACTGCTTTGATTTCATCAGTTGTTATTGGCTTATTAAGGTTTTCTGATTCCTCCTGATTCAGTTTCACATGATCTCACTCACATGTGGCATCTAATAAACAAAACAGACTGAGAAACAAAATAGATCCAGAGACATAGAAACATGGGACAGGAATCTCAGTGGGAAGGTGGGGGTGGGGGAGTGGGTATGAGAAATTAACCAAAGAACTTACATGCACATAGCATGTCCCATGGACACAGACAATAGTGTGGTGAAGGCCTTGTGGGGGTGGATGCCAGGTGGAGAGGACCAATGGGGAAAAAAGGGGGGAATATCTGTAATACTTTCAACAACAAAGATAACAAAAACCACTGCCAATTGAACCAAACCCATACACACCTCTGAATAAGAAGCATTTATCTTGCAAAAAGAAAAACCAACCAAAAGAACCCAGGCACTGAAATGAGCTCTATTCAGCAAGCTGAGATTACATGAGTTTTATAGATATTCTAAAGAATATTTCTGGGAACTTTTGGAATTTTGGAGCACTTGCTCTTTTTTGTCTAAATTAACTGTCTCTTTTCCTTTCCGATGACAGCATGGGTTAAGGAGACCTGTGATGTGGGAATGTGACCAGGTCTTATTAACAGTGACTACAATAAGTTTCCAAGCCACAGATAAAATGAAGCAGCAGAAAGGAGAAAAAAGAAAGCAGGAGGAGGAATGAGCTCACCATGGTAATGACAGACAAGACCTCGAGGAGGATGGATGTAGTGGAGGCCTTGTCTATGCACATCAAGAAGTGGAGGGAGGTGGAATCTCTGCTGCGGAGAGGGACAGAGAAAGGGGAGGTGGACATGTGTGGTGCCGGAGGAAAGGAGGCTGGTGAGGGTGTTTGTACACAGCTACCTGTGTGGCCCACTAGGGATCAGCCTTGCCCTGGAAGCAGGGTAGGTGCCTGTAGAGGCCAGGTAGGCACCAAGTGATTAAATGAGATAAAGGGGTCTCCACCTAGAGGCCACCTGCTAATGTAAAGTGGGCTCAGCAGAGGCAGGAGGGTGAGAGCTCAGACCCTGGAAGGAGACTGCCTTGTCTGTACCCCAGCACTAGCTTTCTTACTAATCTTTCTATGCCTCAGTTTCCTTACCTGTAAGATGGGGATAAACAACAGTGCCAAGCTCACAGGACTGTTGGGAGGCATCAGTGAGATGACTGAGAAGGCTCAGAACATGGCCTGGCACATACACTGGGAGTGCTCTGTGGGGCTGCCCAGCAGGACAGGTGGTGGTGATGCCCCACCAGTTTGAGGATTTGGGGTAGTGTAGCCCCAAAGCACTTGATCCTGCTTCGTCCCATGCCTCCCCTTGGGTGTCTACTGATTTAGTATCACTAAGTCGGCTACAGTACTGCCCCAGGCACTTCCCATACATCATCTCCTTTAGTTCTAACATACGAGATACACAGCACTATCACCCCATTCTAGATGAGGAAACTGAAGCAGAGAAGTAGGACCCTGGAGGGCCTACTGCCTCCCGCCTGCTGGATCTCCACCGTTTAAAAAAGATACACACGTATTGTTTCTGATGTTAGTTGATCTTCCCCAAGATGTACACTTAACAGTTCTACTTAACAGAAACCCACAGACATCAAGAGGCAGTTTTCGAGGAAAGAGTGACTGCCCTCTGGGTAGTAGATTAATCAAACTGATTAGTGTCCATCAGAATCCATCTTCTCTCCACTGGGCCCAGCTCTGAGGGAAACTCAGAAGGAACCTAGGGAGATGGCTTTCAAAGCCATCTCTACAAACTGCCCCTGCGCAGGTAGCAGACATCTCAAACTCCAGTTTGGAAATGAACTCCTTACCCATCTGTCCGCAAAATGCCCGCTCACAGACCAGGCCCCTCCACTCTTCCAACTCCTTCCCCATCACATTTCCTCAGTGCTCTCTGAGACCTAGACAGAGAGCACCCACACTCCTCAGTGGGCACACAGCGCCCTCCACAGCAGGCCTGCTGCCTCCCCGGCACCCCGGGGCAGCCGTGAGCGCTGCGGGCTCCTGACCCCCGTGTCTCTGCGCCCCGCCGCCGTGACTGCTGAGAAACCGCCTCTTCCAGACCGAGCTCGCGGGGTTCCGTCCCTCTCGCTGCTGCGCAGACCGAGCTCGCGGGGTTCAGTCCCTCTGGCTGCTGCGCAGACCGAGCTCGCGGGGTTCAGTCCCTCTCGCTGCTGCGCCGTGCGCACACCTGTTCTCGCACGTGGCAATGTCTTGCCTTTATTTACACGACTATCTCGGCTGCCTGCAAACTTTACCTTGGGTGCCGCGCACTGTGCTATGGGCTGGAACGACCAAGAGGAAGACGTGGCCTCATCCCAGGGAGTAAGTCGGAGCTGGGGGCAGAGGGCGCAAGGGACGTACTCGTCTTTCTCTTTCAAGCTACCCAGGTGACTTGAATGCGCAGCCAGGGTTGAAAATCCCTGCCCTGGGGAGTTTCAGCTCGACGAAGGCCTCGTCAGATAAAAGGCTAGATGCTACTTTGTTTCCCATCCTCATTTCCAGGAGGCCCACAAACAGGCAGAAGGCGCCGCGGGGAGGCCTGAGGAGCGCGCCCCGGAGGCGGCGGTGGCGGCGTGGCTTCCTCCCCGCACCCCCGGAAGGCGGCCACCGAATTCACGGTCACCGCCAGGGCCAAGGGCGGCCGGCGCCGCGAGAGCCCCCGAGCGCGCCCAAG